TGTTGTTATTGTTAAGTGCTGTCGAATCAGTACCGTCTCATAGTGACCATGTATGTAGGGTTTCCGAGGAGCGGCTGGTGAGCCTGAACTGCCGACCTTCTGGTTCAAAGTGACCTTGAGTCCAGCACATTAGCCCACAGTGCCACACCAGGACTCCCTTAGTCCTCAATAAACGTTAATCTACTCTTTTTCTGTGTCCCCATGACTCCATGAGCACGATACTTGTTGATTGAAATTTGATCGGTTCCCATGATTCATATCCATCTTGCTGGGGGGTCTTCCTCTTTTTCTATGACCCTTCACCTTACCAAATATGATCTCCTGCTCCAAGGAACATTCTGGCTGTACGTCTTCTAAGATTTGTTTGTTCTTCCTGCAGTTCTGGTATAGTCAGTATTTTTCACCAATACCGTAGTTCAAAGGCATCGATTCTTCTTAAACAATGTTTAATGACATATTTATTATTGCTGTTAATCGTTGTCAAGCCAGTACTGACTCTAATGACTCTGTATAGACTTTCAGAGGAGCGGCTGGTGGGTTTGAACACTAACCTTGTGGTTAACAGTTTGGTGCTTATACAGCCCTACACCAGGACCCCAATGATTTATTTAGTGTATCTTTAATAATGAAACTTATATGTTTAAAATGTAAACTTATGTTTATCTTTGTTTTGGGTCAGTTTCCAACCATATGTGACCAAGTAGAATTGTGTATAATGCAATCAAGTGCTTTAGCTACGGCACCACTAGCGTTCGCTAACGAGCTGTCTCTCCTTTCAAAAAGACAAAACAGAAAAAAAGCATGGTGTCCTACTTTTGTTGTAATTTGAATGTGTCATATGTTGGGGACAGTGAATAAGAAAGATCGTAGAAGAATTGATGCCTTTGAGTTGTGGTGTTGGAGGAGAATATTGAAAGTGCCATGGCTGCCAAAAGAACCAATAGATCCATTTTGGAAGAAGTGCAGCCAGAGTGCTCCTTGGAGGCCAGGATGGCCAAACTTTGTCTCTCCTACTTCGGACATATTGTCAGGAGGGACCAGTCGCTGGAGAAGGATATCATGTTTGTTAAGGTGGAGGGTCAGAGAAAAAGAGGAAGATCCCGAGGGAGATGGATTGGCCAAGTGGCAGCATCGATGGACTCAAGCGTGGCAACAATTGTGAGGTTGGCCCAGGACGGGGCAGTGTATTGTTTGGTCCTGTGTAAGTTCTGCTCTGTCTTGTGAGTTGGTACTGACTCAATGGTACCTAAAAACAGCATCTATACTTTAGACTAATAGCTAATCTCAGTGTGAACCCCTTATGAAAATTACTTTCTTCTGCTCTACGAGCTTTAGGTAATTAATGACTTTGTACCTTTGATTTTTTTTTTAGGACTTATCCCATATGCCTTGGCAGGATGGTAAAAGCACTCTGTTTAACGATGTGGGTGAGTTCCTTGGGCAGAGTTTCATTGTTTTGCTGGGAAAAGACAACCACTCAGTGGAGGCTTCTTCCTCCTCCCCACCTTCCTCACTCTCTGTGGATCCCTGACACTCTCTCTAACCTGACCTCACAAAACAACGGCAGCGTATTGCGGCCGCCGCCTCCAGCAGCCACCTAGCGCTTCAGTGCACAGGACAGAATTGAGGTAAAGGTGGGCCTGCCTTGCTTACTCTCTGAAGGAGTCTGATTAATACAACACAGAATTTGTGTTGTGACTCATAGTGACCCTGGACACAATGGACGGATCCACTGCCCAGTCCTGAGCATTCATTCATCTCAGGTTTGCCTTATTCACAGCAACCCTGTATAGAGTTTCCGAGGAGCAGCTAGTTAATTTGACCCTCCGACTTTGTGGGTCAAACTGACCTTGTGGTCCAGGGCTTGCCCCACAGCGCCCACAACAGTGCCCATTATTGTTGCTGTTGTTCAGTGTTTGAATTGTTTCTGACCCGTAGCGATCTGTGTAGGGTTTCTGAGTGGTTGTTGAGTTTGAACCGCCAATCTTGCAGTTCAAACTGACCTTGTGGTCAAGCGCTATCCTTCAGTTCCCCACCAGGACTCCAGCAGTAGAAGGTCCTAAGAGTGGTATGTGCCTCATCCCTTTAAGGAATGAGTGACACTCTCCTCCAACACCATAACTTCTCCCTACCTGACAGTTAGACAAACCGAAGCTCTGAGCAGCTAGGTTACTTGTCCAAGGACTCATACCTGGTGAATGGCAGAGCCAGGGTTTGAAGCCAGGACTGTCCAATGCCCTGTGTGTATAAGAATCGCCTAGGGACCTGCACTTAGGATGCCACACTAGAGATTTATTCTTAAGTCTGGTCACCTCCCCATGAGCACACCTCATTTTTTCTTTTTTTAATGGCAAAGAGATGATAAGTCATTTATTCATTCAGCAAACATTGGCTACCTGCCATCCAGAGAGAGGCACCGCCGAGCCTTACTGTCTTTCTCCTTAATTAACACACACACACATACCTGTTTACAGTAGAAACACCATCTGGACTGAAACCCCTCAGGAACACTGAAGATTTCAACCTACTCCTGACTTCTTCAGCCTCCAGCAGCCCTTGGGCAGATTCCGTGTTGGCCTTTATGCCCTCATGGGCCAAGAAGACCTTGTTCAAAAGTGAGTCTCCTATAGCACACCGCCAGGTAAGTAACAGGTTCGAACGTTAACCAAAATATCAGAAATTGGAAAGGGGGTGGTCTAGGTGAGTTAAGGGTTGGGATGCAAGCTAAAAGATGGGTGGTTCAAACCCACTTGCTGCTCTGCAGGAGAAAGATGAGGCTTTATGCTCCCTAAAAACTGAACGGTTTCAGAAACCCCGAGGACCAGTCCTCCGCTGTCCTCCTAGAGGGTTGTTATAAGTCAGATTTGACCCAACGACAGTGGGTGTAGCTTTTGGTTTGGTGAATAGAATACCGCAGGCGTTTGTTCCTCTAAAGAGCATATTCCTTAAATACACACTCAGACCTCTGAAAGCAGGAGCCTGTGTCAGGTAGAAACTGTTAGAGGAAAACTCAGATACTTCCCACTAAATAGAGGAGAGGTGGCTGGATCCTCTCAGATACATAAAACCTGCGAGACCAGACTAAGCAAGGCAGCCCGTCCAATTCCGGCTCTCACAGGCTTCCCTGTACTTATCCCTGGGCAGAGGGGGGCCTGGTGCTACCGTGGTTAAGGGCTCAGCTGCTAAACCAAAGGTGGGTGCTTCAAACCTACCAGGTACTCCTTGAGAGAACGATGAAGCAGTTTCCCCTCATAAAGATTTGCGGCCTTGAAAGCCCCCTGGGGCACTTCCCCTTAGGGTCGCTGTGCGTGGGAATCCACTCAGTGACCGGGTGTTGTCTCTTGGGAGCAAATCCATGTGTCTTTCCAAAGTGCTCTTTTGCCTGTAACTCGCAGGGCATATTTACATGAACAGAATATTTGAATCCGATCCTCATCTAGTGGTTCTAAAGGATTCTGTTTTATCCAGACTCATTTTATTTTTGGTGTGGCGCTGTAGGATAAGCACTGGACTGTAAGGTCGATTTGAACCACAAGGCAGGTGGATTTGAACTGGTGACCTTGTGGTTAAGCAGCCCAATGCATAACCCCTGCACTCCTCTTTGCTCAGTGCTTAGCTCTTTATCCATTTAACCCCACGTGAACCCCAGGGGAAGGTTTTTTTCCAACAGGACACTTTTCATTCTCAAGTTAAGAAGGAAAGTCTTCAGGATAACTGTAGGCATTTTATTACGAGCAAAGGTATCTCCTCACCCCTTTAGAAACACTCATCATGCTGTGCTTTGCTTAAATACAGAATGGAACGACTCTCACTTCCTAATAATGTCTGTCTTTCATTTAGGATGAACACATTCCAAGAGAACTGCAAGGCATTTCTGAGAGTAGAGTGGTTTTTCAGAAATGTGCCGTGGTACGTACGTGTCCATTAAAGCCTACTGCCAAAGGGAGCAGCTGAGGACTCTAGACTCGTGGGAAGAGAGGGACCAAGAGCTGGTGGCCAAGAGGCAGGCTGGCAGAATGTGCCCTTGGATTGTTTCAATGATTATAGATTCCTGAGTGTTTTTGTGTACATCTCCCCATGCCCCCTAAAAAAGAAAAAAACAAGAGGGAATGGAAGCCAGTACTGTTGAATGATGATGCACGGAAGAGAGGAGATTGTAATCATTGCAATGAACGATGGTGTAAAGCCAATGTTCTCTCATGTAAATAATAAAAAAATAAAAAAAAAAATTAAAAAAAACACTCCCACCCCCCCCAAAAAAAACCCCATTGCCATGGCTCAACGCCAACTTAAATAACCCCCTAGGAGAGAGTAACAGTGCTCTACAGGTTTTCTAAGGCAGTGGTCTTTACGGGACAAGATCGCCAGGTCTTTCTTCCGCAGAGCAGCTGGTGGGTTTGAACTGCCGACCTTTCTGTTCACAGCCAAGAGCTTACATGTTGTCACCAGGACTCCTTTGTAAAGAGCACAGCCAGAACAACTCTATGGGACAGTTCTACTGTGTACCACATTGGGTCACCTTCAACTACACAGCAATGGGCTTGGGTTTTCTATAGGAGCCTGCAAATCCCCAATGCCGCTGAGTCAGTTCTGACTGACAGAGACCCTCTAGGACAGTGTAGCCCCACCCCATAGGGTTGTTTGGGCTGTATCTTTCTTCTGAGGAGTGACTGGTGGGTTTGAACCACTGACCTTTTAGTTAGCGGGGTGGGGGGTGGGGGAGTGCTTAACCACTGTGCCACCAGGGGAGGTGAGAATTCTAGCACTGACGCTCCACTGCCCTAGTCCCCACATTACGGAGTCTGCCCCTTTTTGCTGATGTTTCTCCAAGGGGTTGTTGTTACATGCCCTTAAGTCGGTTCTACCTTAGAGTGACCCTGTATAGGGTTTCTGAGGAGCAGCTGATGGTTTGAACCACCGACCTTGTGGTTGGCAGTCCAGTCTTTATTCTACAGAGCCACACCAGGACTCCCAAGGGGTTGTTGTTGTTATGTGCCATCGAGTCGGTACCGACCCATAGCGACCCATAGCACAGCAGACCCCATAGCACAGCAGAATGAAACACTGCCTGATCCTGGGCCAACCTCACTACTGTTGCCACGCTTGAATCCATCGATGCTGCCACTTGGTTACTCCATCTCGTTGGGGGACTTCCTTTTTTTCTCTGACCTTCCACCTTACCAAACATGATATCCTTTTCCAGCAACTGGTCCCTCCGGACAGTTTGTCCGAAGTATGACAGACTAAGTTTGGCCATCTTGGCCTCTAAGGAGCACTCTGACTGCACTTGGTCCAAAATGGATCTATTGGTTTTTTTGGCAGCCCAGGGCACTTTCAATATTCTCCTCCAACACCATGGGTATAGGGCACATATTACGAGGGTGACCCCTTGTGGGGTTTGGGGATCAGGACTGTATAAACAGGCCTTCCCTGAGGAGTGTGCCATCCGGTGGAGAAAGCTCATAACTGCAGGGCAGCGTGAGTGAGTCTGGCGCTTGGAGGGAACAGGTTTGCCAGAAGGCTGCCTGGAGGAGGTGGCCCTTGAACTGAGTAGTTTAGAAGGAGCAGGATTTGGGAACAGAGCAAGTGACCATCTTTCCATGAACTTTTGAAGCCCCCTCATAGTTTGGGGAGAGACAGCACAGTCCACAACAAGGGCCATGCATGAGGCCAGCCTCAGTGGCTTGAGAGAGGGGCTGGACCCTTCATTCAGGAGGCCTTGGGAAGGACTGCCCCAAAGTATAGCACCTCGAGGTGTAGCTTCTAGTTATATGGGTCCAACCCTAGTGAAGCCATGCGGCCGGCCCAAATTCCCCGGGAGCTGATTGGCAACCTGTGCTCTCAGGGGTAGCCCTCCCGGCCTCGCCTTCTTTGGGGAGACAGTGGATGCCAGAGATGCCCTTCTGGGGTGGGGACTGATGCTTGTAAGTTCCTGGGTCCACTGTGGGCTTCCCAGGTATCTCTAATGGGCACCCTGTCCCCAGCCTGCCCACACCTCTACATTCTGATCATTCTTCTTGAAAGTCTCTCTGCAGTAATGACATCCCCACTTTACAGGCTCTCAGCTATATGAGTCATGTATCCCTGAGTCATGTACACTTAAACACTTGACTATTAGCCAGAGGTTGGCAGTTCAAGCTCAAAACAGGTTATTTCAGAAGAAACACCTTGCAGTCTGCTTCCAAACAGTTATAGCCCCGAACACCCTGTGGAGCAGTTCTCGTCAAATTTACTAACAACAACAACTGTGTCTTCAAAATTGTCTCCAAGCCCCAGCTGCTCAAGCAAGTGTCAGAACTCTCCTGGGGCCTCTGAGATCAGGCAGAGCACCCTGTCAGTGGTCAGAACCTTGTTAGGCTATAGACCCTCCTTCCTGCCTGGATGGGACGTGTGCTCAATGGGGACCTGTCCGCAGGGCGGCACTGATGGCATTCTCACCTGTTCTAGGTGTCTGGGCAGAGACATTCACAGAGCGCTCTCGTGTGGCTGCTCGTGAACACCACCAGGTCACCCGTGGCCACCAACCTCTCAGACCTGTTGCTGCTCGACAACATCACCGGCCTGACCGTGAGGGAGTCGGCGGGGAATAGGACGTCCAAAGGATTCCAGGCTTTCCGAAAGAAGTTCCTGCAAGGTATCCGGAGTGTATGTGCATGCAGGTCGGGCGCCGCAGCTGGTGCACATGAGCTGATGTGTTGAGCCCACTGTGCAGCCACCAGGTCGATCCATCTTGCTGGGCGTCTTCCTTTTTTTTTTTTTTTTTTTTTGCTTTTTACAGTGAGTTGAGTGAAGGTTTACAGAACAGACCATCAGTTACACCTTCAACAATTCATGCTCTTCATCTCATCTCAGAGATTGCAGCAATTGGAACCCCCTCCCTGGTGTATCACTTCTGCTTCCTCCCTGTCTCATTCCTCTTTCTCTCCTGTTGTTTGGTGCCGTCGAGTCAGTTCTGACTCATAGCAACACTGTGCATGCACCCCAGAATGAGAAACTGTAACTGTGCCAATCCAGCTCTTTATTGCTGTCCCTCCCCTTTACCAAGCATGATGTCCTTTTCCAGGAATTGGTTCCTCCTGATAACATGTCCGAAGTGTGAGCGATGACGTCTTACCCTCCTGGCTTCTGAGGAGCACGCTGACTGTACTTCTTCCAGCAAAGACCTGTTTGTTCTTCTGGCAGCCCGTGGCATTTTCAATATTCTTCTTCAACACTACAACTCAAATGCATCAATTCCTCATTGATTATCCAACCTTCACATGCATATGAGATTATCGAAAATACCATGGCTTGGATCAGGTGCACTTTAGTCCTCAAGCTGACGTCTTTGCTTTTGAACACTTTAAAGAGGTCTTGTGCAGCAGATTTGCTTAATGCAATATGCCATTTGATTTCTTGACAGCTGCTTTCATGAGTGTTGATGGTGGATCCAAGCAAATTGAAGTCTTTGACAACTTCAATATTTTCTCCACTTATATGGATATTGTTTATTGATCCAGTGGTGAAGAGTTTTGTTTTCTTTACATTGAGATGCAATCCATACCGAAGGCTGTGGTCTTTGATTTTTATTAGTAAATATTTTAAGTCCTTTTCGCTTTCAGCAAGCAAGGTTGTGTCATCGCCATATCGCTGGTTATTAATGAGTCTTCCTCAAATCCTGAGGCCGCTTTTTCTTTATATAATGCATTTACTTGGATTATGTGCTCAACATACAGGTTGAATAAGTATGGTGAGGGAATACAACCCTGGCTCACACCTTTCCTTATTTTAAATCTTTCAGTGTCCCCTTGTTCTATTCCAACAATGGCCTCTTGGTCTATGTCTGGGTTCCCGACGAACCCAATGAAATGTTTTGGAATACGCATTCTTTGCAATGTTATTCATAGTTTGTCATGATCCGTATAGTCAATGTTGTTGTTATGAGCCATGGAGTCGGTTCCTACCCATAGCGACCTGGTACAGGGTTTCCGAGGCTGTAAATCTTTACAGGAGCAGAAAGCCTCATCTTTATCCC